CGAGCCTATGCGTTTTTAGCGTGTGTTGTTATAGTCGCTTGGGCGACCCTCCCGCTTTAAGTAGATGTCATTTCGGGGAGTCGCAATGTGGACTGAGTGTCTGATTTATTCCCTAATAGAAGTTAAGGATGACATTGTGGGTTCAAATATTGTAAAGCGTGTAGTCGTTGTGGAGTGCGCGTTCGAATTTCATGTAAACAAGTACTAGTAGTATGTTTTACACGCGTTGTTTGGGACCCATATCAAACACGACGCGTCGCTACGACCATCGCCCCTTAAAGCAGGAGGGTCGTCACCTGCACATGAGCGGGAACTGAGTCCCAAGCGACGATAACAACGCTTGTCTGTAAACAAAAAATGACACGCTATGGCCACCTGACGCACGCGCAGGTGACGACACCCCCCGCTTTAAAGTAACGGGAAGAAATATTAAACCTAACCTCGTTATAATGACAATGATAACAGCTCTAACACAACGTGTACGGCATATTGAACACTAAGGTTTTCAGCATAATTAATGATTTTGGTAAATTAAAAACTGTTTCGCGTTTTGTTTATTGTATTACTATGAATAGTTCGAGTATTACGTGATCAAGTTTATATGTGCATATCTATGGAACTGACCCTTCCTCTTCTCGTGAAATAAAAATGAGACTAAATTTATCAACAGATAGAAAGTTCTAGGAGTGTAGGACACGCAGCTTATAGTACATATTCGAACCCAAAACACCACAGAGCCACGGCGATCTTTCATAGAAATGTATTTTTCTGCACGAGAGTCCAACAACTACCCAGTTGAGGCGGCACAGGGGGAAGGGAAGCAAACAAATGTTTGGGGGCGTCGCCCCTCCAAGATCGAGCTGAAACCCTTGTGTCAGCAAAATTTGCACCTCAAAATGCGGGAAATAGCGTTTCAGAGGGTCTAGATTTCATTTTTTTAAGAGGGAGCATGCCCCTGGACGGTGGAACCCCTAGTAAGGTCGCGCCAAAGGCGCGAGGTTGGTGAGCAGATCTCGCCCCTTCATGTAAGAAAGAGGTAGATGCGAATAAAAAGAACTAACTGCAGAGCAAATTACAGAACCAGCAAACAGACGCCATATAACAACAAATATTGGCCGTAAAATTAAGACCTTCCTAGTGCGCTGCCGCTACGTATTATGGGACATCGAATGAGGCTCATGTCGAACGCCCGGGACCATTTTTGTGTTGTTTCACCATTATAAAACACCGAACTATTTACATGACTTTATATCCGGCATTAATCTTAAAGCTACGACCCCGGATTTCAAGGTTGGCTTAACATAATGTGACCGACAATGCAGTGGTACATAATTCACAGCTGTGCTTTTCCTCAATTTGTTATTACAGTTGTAGTAATTATTTTATCCGTTTTTTGACTGTGGTATATTTAAGAAATAAACCATCGGTCGTCATGACTTACCTTGATGTTTTGCATAGAAGCACGACATACGCGAACTGGCGTCTGTCCGGGCGGCGGTTTGTTTTAAATTACACCATTTTAATGTCGGTGTACTTCTTAGTGGCAAAAAGATACAAAATCGTCTCAAATCAGAGAATCATTTAAGATCTAGTCCTGTAGACGAAATTCTGATTTTATATTTATGTGTTTTTTAAGATATTGACAGATTTTACACTATCGTTTGTAAAAAGAAATAATCCTAAACAACATCGTTTTACTTTGCAAACGCACCGCGAATTTGTTAATGCTACAAAGCTCACTGAGCGAACGAGCGCCGATCCGAAAATCAATTAACTGCTATCGTTTGAGTTATTCTGAAACCCGACTTTCTCTTTCCATTTTAAATTAGTATTATCGAAATACCTAAATATCCTCTATTTGATTTTTTTAAATTAAACTATAATAGTCTATTTAACGTTATTGGTGTATTATTAATATGAATAAAAAATACCATAACTACAGTATATCGCGAATATAATAAACAATTAGTATTAATCACGAGGGGACGCGTTGCTAATTACAACGATATTTTTCAATGTGTTGATATACCTGTATATTATTATTATAGTACAGAAAAAACACATATTAAACATAAAAAACTAAATTTCCCTTATATGTTACAATGATAAAAATTAATAACTAGTATGTGAAATACAAAAACAAAACGCTCATTTATGACAGCCATGTTAGATGACTTGCACTAATTATAAAACAAGCTGTTACAATGAAAGTCGGATAACGAAGACAGATTTGCATACATTTTCATGATTGTCAACCATATTTTCTCACCACGAATTGTACAATTTATGAACGTGTTAACGCGATACCCTCTTGCATTTTGTTTACATATTTAATCACCTGATATTTGCAATGAAAAGACCGACTGGAACGAGAATTTCTTGTTATATAATGTTGACGTTTTCTTCCATTTACGTGATTTCAACATTAATCTCAACCGATGACGTGAGCGATGAGGTGCGAAAGGAATGGAACGTCGGACCAATCGAAAGGTCGGAAGCAAAGATATCAGCACAAACCAGGGTCGCTGGTTTAAATAGAACAGTAGCAAACCAGCGTGGAATTCGTGTCTTGATCCAATCACGCTTTCGAACAGGATCCACCAAGACCGAACGATTTCTCTCCGGTCATTCCGATTTTTTCGGGTTCACGAACCAGGCGGCATGATACAACGAGGATTGGGCTTGCCAATTTTACAAGAAACATACACAGATTTATCTCCAATTCGCGAACAATTGCTGGATTTCATTCATGATATATATAATTGTGATTTTACTAAACATGATTATTTTCTCCTTGGTTTGAATACCATTTACAGCTATTCGAAAAGGACATATTTGACGTATTTGCCACGACCAAATATAACAAATGACGTAGTCACAGATATATGTAAATCTAAACCTCATAGAGTGGTTAAAGTGTGCAGGATGTATTCGATTCTCGAGGCTGAAAAACTGATTAGGGAAGACAATGTCAAAATAATATTCATGGTACGTGATCCCCGTGGAATGGCTCCATCAAGAATGAAATTTAATGACATATATACCCCAGAGGAGAATTTTAATGATGTAGTCAAAGGACAAGTTAAACTTCACCCAAAAATGGAAGTGATTGTAACCGACTATTGCAATTGGCTGATGGAAAATCACATGCCCGAATCACAGCTACCTGATTGGTTGAGAGGAAAGTATTTGGTAATACGGTACGAAGATACTGAGAGACATCAGTCACGATCAGTTCAAACCATATTTGATTTCCTTGGGCTTGAATACCACGAAGAAGACATTAGGCAAGTTTTAGAAGAACTTGCAAAATTTGAAGTGTTTGAAGAAGATAACAATAGCGAGCGATGGAGAAAAAAACTAAGAATAGAAGAAGTGAAACGGGTCCAAGAATTGTGCACTAGTAAATTATTCAAAGAACTGGGGTATAAATTGGTGAAAACTGAACTTGAACTTAGGAACAGCTCCATTTCTTTAGTTAATGACATTTAACCTCAAATAAGATATTTAGGTTTTCAAACACGCCGTTGACTGTGTGTTTATCACAAAATAAGAAAAAATAAGCAGTTTTAATTAAGTTTATTGTTATTTTATTAATAATTAATTGCTGAAAGAGCACAGAAACATTGTGATATCATTGAACAGCTTTTTCAATAAAAATGTAGACAAATTTAATTATATGTCATTAGTCTCTATGTGTATACAAATGGCCCACGTGATTGCGTTGTCATAATTGTCTCAACAGCTGTTACATTTAGTGAACAATGTATGAACAGGGATTGCGTATTAGTGTGTTTATTCAATGTTTATAGTTTGTTATATAGTCACTCGTATGATGTTGGCGTGGCAGTCAGTGTGGTACAGTTCACCGACAGTTGGACGGAGGACGGGCTCAACCTACATTAGCAAGGCGCTTCGCAGTATTCATAATTTTGAATTCCATGTTATAGGGATATATAATGTATATGGCAGTGATATGCAATGCGTTTTCCTGCATGTCATGCCCTATAACAATTGTGAACGTTCGTCATTTAGTATATGATAAAACTAATACTAATAGTAACACGTTGTCATAGCAGACATAAACAAAATCTACTGGGTAGATTATCGTGGAAAATATGCATGTCAAACAGAGCTCTGCCTTAACGCAGTCAACTAGTAAAAATAGCGTTGTTTAACAATATCAATGTCCCTTTTGTTTGAACCTTCCTTTGTATACCATGTTTTTATTTATTTATTTATTTATTTATTTATTTATTTATTTATTTATTTATTTATTTATTTATTTATTTATTTATTTATTTATTTATTTATTTATTAACACACAACATCCCCCGGAGGGGATGAAAAGGGTTACAAATCAAATATTAGTAAAAGAAAAATAACTACATAAAAAGTAAGGGAACAAAAAAGCATTAAAAAAAAGAAAGATAAATTTGTATACGAGGAATGTGTTACTGGCTTAGTTTATGTAGGTGCTGCTGTCTTGTATTAAAACAGTTTTTTAAATATTGTGCTAAAGGAATTGACATTTTCTCGTTACTTAGTAATGATATGAATTTATTTTCATTACTAAATTTGTCAAAATTTGGTATACATTTATTAGCTACAATGTAAAGTTTTGATCTTATTTCGTTGTAATGAGGACAATTTATGACAAAATGTTATTCATCTTCACATGGTCATTGTCGCACATATTGCAGACTCTGTCTTTAAAATCCAAACCTATATGCCGGCCTGTTTCATTTTCAGACAGTGGTTGCCAAGTCTAAATTTT